ATAACAACACAAAAAGCGCGCGCAGATTTCGCAATGTTCATTAGCGTAGTCCAGACCTCATATGCTAATATTACAAACATGTTGTTCTCAACACTCTCCCCACAGAGAGAGAGGCAGAGACACCAGTGAAGAAATTGCAGAGATGGAGAGATAGAGAAAGAATTCAGGTGACGAATTAGTCCAAAAAACATAACATACATTAAAAATAAGGATAACAGTGTGGGCATCCTCCCTGAGCTTGTACGAAAGAGATATAAGTTGGGCGATGGTAGTGTGGCATGGGTTGAGAGAAGTAAAACGGCTCTTGCCAAATAGCGGGAAGAGTAACGGAAGATCCCCAAGCGGCGGGAGGAGGTATGTCTTGCGCGAGAAGAGATGGAATGTTACGAGTATCACACGTTCTTTTCTTGGGCTGTGGTTGAACCTTCTTGCTTTTCTTCTTTTTTTGAGGGGACCATTTCTTCTTCTGTTTCTTTTCCTTTTTGTCGAGAGTAGTGAGCGGAAGTGAGTTGTCGTCGAGAGTAGGGAGTGGCAGCAAGTTGTCGTCGAGAGTTGTGAGTGGCAAGGAATCTATCGGGGCATGCGTGAGTGATGGATTAGGGACTATAGATACGTTGGCTATCAATACGTCGATATCGTCGTTGTAGGACATGGTTCTGAATTTTAGTGGTGTATACAAAAGAAGAGGAGTAGTGGGGAGGGTAGGGGGAATGGAGAGTCAATTCAAGGAGACCTCTTCCTCTATTTCTAGAGGGTAGAGGTGTTTGGGAGATCTAAGGTACACCTTCTTATCTGGGTGTCGTACTTTCACGGAGCGTACCTCCCCCCGAGAGTCAGGAATTATTTCCGTAATAAGTCCTAGATGCCAATTCAAACGATTAGGTTGTCCATTGCTGCATAGGACGATTTCGCCGGGACGCGGGATACGGAGTGGGGTGATGTTTGAGAAGGGGGTGTCACGCAGCAGCTGCAAGTAGGATGTGCTCCACAGGTTCCACAGCTCGTCAAGGATACTATGGAGTCGTCTCTGCGTATTACGTAAATCGGAGGGGTGCAAGGTATTGGAAACCTTCATCACGTTAAGCCTGCATCGTGCATAAGGGAATATCAACATTTTTGGGGTCAGAACGGATAAGAGATCATCACGGGACGATGTTAAAGGCCTGGAGTTAATGATTTCGGAAATCTCCGCGGTAAGGGTTTTGAACAAGGAGAGGTCGATGACCGACTTATGTTGGTGCCAGATCTTTTTTAATATGGTCTTGAAAACTCCGATCATACGTTCATACACACCACCTTTCCAAGGAGAGAGAGGTGTGATAAAATTCCACTCGATTTTATTGAGTTCTGTGAGATGGGCGAGGGGAGGAGGGAGCTGTATGCGGTCTTCTATTTTGAAGACAGCACTGAGAAGTTTATGGGAGCTCAGATTGTCTAGATAGATGAGGTTGGCGGGGTGAAAACGAGAGAAAGTTCTACGTAGAGCTAGTGCAATTTCAACAGCCGTTAGGTTGGGAAGTACTTCTATGTGTACCGCTCTGGTAACTAGACACGTTATGAACAGCAAGTAGACCTTGCTACGGGAATGCGTAACCTCGCCGGCTGGTTGGAGCTCGAAGGGACCAGTCTCATCTATACCTATCCTGGAGAAGGGGACTGACGGAGAAATGCGTGAGGAAGGGAGTGTTTGGTGGGGGGGGAGTGAGAAAGGTCGTCCGTTAAGACGTTTACATGCTATGCAATTGCGGATGAGTTTCCGCGAACTAGCGTGGGCAGGTAATGGCCAGAATTTCACACGCATAAGTGCCAAGGTCTGACACCGGGAAGGATGGTGGTTGTTGATGTGATAATGCTTCAAAATTAGCTGGCAGAGGTGAGACTTTCCATCTATGAGCCACGGATGTTGGTGTGGGGAGCCTACCAAGGGTATTCTACCTCGAAGCTGAATCAACCCAAACTCGTCGGAGACGACGTCTCTCCTCTGCCTAAGCAGGGAGGGCTTTTCTCGGAGTATGCGGGACTGATGGTATTGTACGGCTACCACTTCGGCAAGAAGATTTAATTGACAACTGCCTAGTGCAATGTCTACCTCGAGCCACGGGAAGGCTTGGCAAAGCTTAGTCTGTAATGCGGGGCGGTGTGACAATCTATGTTTGAACCACCGTAATAGGACTGCAGTTGCTTTGCAACGCACCAGATATCTTCTCCATGAGCTCTTTGGGGTTGGGTCCAGGGGGTCAACACTGGCTGCAATTAAGGGGTAGAGAGAGACAGTAGGGAAAGGGAAGGGGGTATGCAATCCTTGAAAATCAGGAGTACTTTCTTCTAACATCAAGGGGGGACCATTCCACCACAGCTTAGAAGATCGTAATTCTTTAGGGCATGATCCTCGTGAAGCAAGGTCTGAGGGATTATGGTGAGTGTTAACATAGAGGAATCTGATAGGGAGTGGAAAAAAGGTGGACATGGTATCGAACATAGATTTGGCTTTTACCAACCTATTGCGAACGTAAATGGGGAGGGGTAATACCGCTCCATGTATCCAATGCAATACGGTGTGTGAATCTACGTAGAAGGTAACCGAATCGGATAAGGTGGATAGAAGCTTGACGTGATTGAGAACCATCCTCATGCTCATGAGCAATGCTGCTAATTCCAACCTAGGGGTGGTAGCTTTAGGGGCGAGCAGTGTCTTGGCGGTGAGAAGGAAGGAGGTGCGTCCATCGTGCACATAAACACAAGCTCCTAACGCTTGATGTGAGGCGTCGGAGAAGACCGCGACTCTTTTGGGGTGAGTAAGTGCAACTGTACGAGGAAGAGGAGAGCTGTCAATAACGGTTTTGATGGTATCAGCGAGCTCACACCACTTTAATACTAAAGTACCAGTCGCTGGTGAGTCGTAATCCGTGGCTAGGGGCCATACCCTGTTCATTTCAAGTCGTAGCGATAGGAGGGCGGGGGACCACAAACCTAAGGGATCGAAGAAAGAGGCTATGGTACTCAATGCTTCTCTTCTGGAGCACCGTTGACGCGTCACAATGGTAGGGGTGGCAATAGTGATAGAGTCGGAGACGGAATCCCAGAGTAAACCTAAGACGCTGATGGATGTACGTGTGTGTAGGTTGTCGGGATCTATCTTCTCCAACGATTGAGGCGAATTGGAAATGAACTCTCTCAAGTTCATGCCTAACTCTTTGAAGAGAAGAACACTATCGAAAACGTCATTTTTTAAGGTGGCGAGTGATTCGTTGGTTAACAAGAGATTATCTACATACATCTGGGAGGGAATGTCGCGTGCGACGGGAAGATTACTGTGTTCTAAATGATGTAGAATAGAGGCAGAGAGGAGGAAGGGAGAAGAAGTTACGCCAAAAGGTAAACGAGTGTACTGTAGTTCGAGGATGTTGGATGGAAGGGGGGGACGGGACGGATCTTTGAGCCACAAAATTTTGGCATATTTACGGTGGTGTGGTTGAAGCTCAACTTGATGAAAGGCCTTCTCTATATCGGCCAACGCTACAAAGGTCGCTGTGCGGAATTTAACGAAGAGATTGAATAGGTCTGGAATGAGACTAGGTCCTGGGAGTAGTAGATCATTGAGAGAAGGGGATGAAACCTGATGGGAACTGGCATCTAATACAACGCGCACCTTTGTAGTCGATGATGAGGGTTTGAGGACAGCTGTGTGGGGTATGTAGTACCCAGGGTCTTCTGTGCGGGGAGCTTCTTCCAGAATGCCCGTACTCAATTGCTCCAATATGATATCGCAATAATCTTTCCATAAGGGTTTGCTACTCTGCTTCTCAAACAGATTATGCAATCTACTTTTCGCTACGGGGTAGTTAGATTTAAGTGCGGTTGAGGGTGAATGAAACGGGAACGAGACAGATAAGCGTCCAGAGGGGGTCCTAACTACGGATGAACGAAACATCTCCCAGGCCATATCGTCTATCGTGTCTTCCGACTCAATGTTCTCAAGGAGATCGCCGTCATTGTCTTTTTGGGTAGTGCGCACGCAACAGATAGCTTCTCCCTGCTTTCTGCTTTGACCACATATAACGGGACCTAAATCGGTCTCATATAAGTGCAGACCTGAAGACAACTGGGTGACAGAAGAGTTGGCTAACATGCCAGACACTATCTCTACACCCAAGATGACGGAGGGTGTTATTTGGCCTGTGGGCAAGAGAGAGAGATCGATATTGCGAGACTTGAGAAATAAGCAGTCGGCGGGAGAGCAACGGGGAAGATAGAAGGACCCGATGAGCTCGTTAACGGCTACGCAGTGCACATTGATGGAGGAGCCATTCTGACGTGTAATTGGGAGGTCATAAACGTTGTATTGACGGTTAGGTACGGAGCTATGAAACCCAGCAAACGAAAGATTGACTCTTCCCACCCACTTGAGACAGAGTTGTATCGCCATACTTTCAAGAATGAGGGAACGTTGTGCTCCTGTATCAATAAGGGCAGTGAGAGGAGGGTATAGGGAGTGTGGAACCAGGAGTTGAGTGAAGGGGAGGCGGTTGGAGGAAGTAGGTTGGCAGGTTTCGCCTTCGGATACACAGACATTGATATTAGTGGGCTGATTGTCAGAAGGAGCTTGTAGGAGGGAAGAGGAGGATGTGGGACTTGAGCTGCATAAGAGGATGGAGTGATCACCTCCACAGTTAGGACAGACGGGAAGCGGGCAACTGCGTGAGCGGTGATCATCGCCAAAACAGATCCAGCAACAGACTCTTTTGACACCAAGTAAAAAGCTTCTCTTACTTGCTGGGCTAGGAAATTGGATGCAATCTACAGGTTGGTGAGGGAGATTGCAGAAGAAACAAGAGGCGCTATTACGAGGGTTCTTGGTCTTAAGGGT